AGTTTATATTGAAATTGACATTTCAATATAAAAGATAATTTGCTAATTCCCTCATGCCGTAGGAATAAAAGTGATTAGACGGGGATATTTTTTCCTCTCCTAAATATGTCGAGATGTGCCTTTGTTTGCAAACACTGTGGGTGTCACTCGCCCGTGCCCCAAGTAGTGTAAACTCTGGGGACAGATTTCAGTCCTGCTGCAGGATTTGGATCTGAGAAAGGTAAAAAGCAGACCGTCGCTCTTTGTAGAGCTACCCAAAGCCTCATCACTCTTAGGTCTCAGAGTCGGGGAGCCAAAATAATTTGTATTTTGGCCATATTCGTGAGATTACAAAAAGACAAACTTCTCAAAAATGATTTCTCTCACATCAGGAAAGTTATCAAGATCTTTTCTTTGTCTTACTTCTAATAGGGCATATTTTCCCCTAACCTGCTTTTCTTGTCAATTTAAATATTTAACTCATTTTGGGGCTGAATTTTTTAGTGTTTAGGACGTTCTGTTCGTGAAGTAAGGAGTTAATCTTTCGGTGCTCATACTGCGTGCTGGGCTCTTTGTGTAATTTTCCTTCTTGGAAGCTGGTAGTAACCTTGTGATTTAAGCATTACCTCATATTGTAATTGGGAAAGCTGTTCATAGAGGTTCCTAGTATTTGCCCAAGATCACACAGAAAGGGGTGGAGAAATGGAAAAGCATGCTTTTCCATTATGTCCACATCATTAGCCTTATAGATTTATTGTAATAATTGTTGTGCTTTCAACAAAATATGTGAGATGGGTGTATCAATAACTTGAAAGTTGATTTTTAAACTTGTTTTTAACACCTTGGTTTTAAGTTGTACATGCTGTTACGCTACGCTTTTAGGTGTTTTTAAATGATAGCTTGCTGTTTGCTGTAAATAAGGTTTATTAAACATTACTTGAAGTCATGGCATATGTCACATCATTTAAGCAAATAATGAAACTGTGTTTTGTTTCCATCAAGTGTTAGCCTTATTTATTCCAATCTTAATTTGTTTCAGTGTTAACTTATGAAGCTTATTAATAGTGCCCTTATGTGTTGTTTATTTAATAAACTAATAAAATGGGTTCCATATCCAGTTTTCTTCATGTTTTAAAGGTATTTGCTTACCAAGAATGTCTAAGCTATTTTCACATTGTATTCAGTAGTGCTGTTGTCCTGAAAGCCATTGTTCTGCCATTATCTTCTGTTTTGAATTGTAATTATTTATTCTTAAAGGAGCTATAATTTGAGGCTTGGTGTTTATGTTCTTCTTTCAAATGAGATCTTTTTAATTTTCATACCTAAATTTTTGACTTTCTAGTTTTCATTTACTAGTACTAGTTAATTCCAAGAGTAGAAACACAATTACTAACTATAAAATATTTTTCTTGTTTTGTTTTTTTTAATATTGGGGATTAAAGTCAGGGGCTCTTTGCCACTGAGTTACAGCCCCAAGCTCCCTTCCTTTTTTTTTGGAGACTGGGTCTCTAAGTTGATGGGACTGGCTTTGAA